CTATCAAAATCTAATTTTATTTAATTTAATTACATTATAATTTATAATATTTTATTTAAATTTAACCTTTAATTTATTTGAAAATTTCATTAAAAAAATTAAAAACTCATTCATTTCTTCTAAGTTACTCTACTGCGAAAGCCAAAAAAATCCATCATAAGAAATCTAAAAAACGTAAATTATTAGGAAATAATAAATATTATATATTTTAATAATTATATATTATATAATATTTTTTAAATTTTAATTAATAATTAATAAATTTTATCATATTTTATTTATAATATTTTTAAAAAATAAATATCAAAACACAAAAATAACTTTCAATCACAATTACAATATAACACAACATAATTTAACACAATTATAATTACAACTACAATCACATATTTTACAGTAACCTCAACTCGCACCCTAACTGCACAACTTATCACACTATAATTCAAGCAAATATGAAACATGGATAAATAGATAAAGGTTAAGGACCCAATCTGAAAAACAGAAACTCAAGACTTTCCTTCTGTTTGTCAACCAAACATTCTTAAGGAACTTAACTTGAGCTAAATCAAACATTCTGTCATACTATCATGAAGTATTAATTTTTAGTGTTATTGAGTTGGTTCTGTTAAGAAGATTACAATTTTACAAATTAGAGTGAATTCATTCATTTGTGAGGTTTTAAGAACTGAATTGAACAATATCTCACCATAGATTGCAACATAATCCTTAATTATGTATAATACTAACATAACATTAACATCCATGATGCTTTTCTTTCCTTTGGTAATAGTTGCTAGTGAATTTATTAGATTTTACCTTTTTCTGGTATTTTCTACGAACAATTGATTTGATAAACAAGAATATAGAATTCCATTATTAATGTCATTGCTGAAAAGTCTAAAGTTTAATCAAAGAACTCCATTACATTTTATTCAAAAACATGAGATGAGATAGCAAAGGCACTATATTTTCTACAGACATAAATGCCTAAGCTTAGCCTAGCTGCTACCACCAAGAATATGCTTGAGTTTCTTCACTTGAGCGTCGTCCAGGAATGTAGTTGTTGCCACCAATTCAGTAGGCAAATCATCGGCGAAAAGCACGAAATCGAGGATTCGAAGACCAGGATCAGGGCTGTTAAAGCTAACAAAGGCGAGTGAAGGCCTCTTTCCCGCATTCTGTTGGTGAGAAATATGACAGGTTAGTTTAGTAGTGCATAAGGAACTATACCCTTAGCCCAAAATGAAATTACCACTAGCTTTTTTTATATTATGTTGTAACCAAAAGATTAATTTAATAGTTATATAAATCTAGACATATTTAAGTCACTCTATCTTTTTATATTTCTCTGATATAGGATTTTTATTTTTCACACTTACAAGGGAAACATATTTCAACGTATCTGAAAATGCAGCAAAACCTTTCGGGAAAACCATGGCATCTCCCTTACCGATCGAGTGTCCTTATGTAGACATTGTTACCAGAAGAAGAAATGAACCCTGCAGTGATGTGCCCGTGAGCCACAACCAGAAACTCAGTTGCACTAGGGTGCGTGTGCATGGGGATTACACCGCCAGGGGCGAAGTCCAGGCGAGCGGCGGACAGTCCTAGCCCATTTACCCCAGGAAATTAAGCCACAAATGCACGGCTCATTGCGGCCTTAATGATGTTGGAGGTGTTTCCAGGGATGCCTAGGCCAGAAAACACAAAGTCACTGGCAGTGAGTGACCTTTGCAACGTTTTTGCATAGGTAGCCAGACGGAGATGTTGGGCCTTTGAGGTCTCCCACACAAAAGTCAGTTGCATGGATGGAAGTGAAGAGGAGAGCGCAAAGGAACAGGATGTGAAGCATTTTGAGTTGGGATTGGAGGAATTTTGATTGCCTTCTTTTTTGGGTTTGTTGGGTTATGGGAAGCAGTATATATAGAACTTTTGCATGCTATAGGATGATTTAATTAATATTTGTGCGAGATATAAAAGACAAGTGTGATTGCAAGAGCAGAAGAGGACCAGGACCACAAATTAATAAATAAAACTTGTTGGCCTTTCCTTTTCTGGTAAATTCTACATTGTTTGTTTTTTTCAAAAACAAGAACAATAGGAGAAAAAAAAGATAAAAAAACTGTTAATGCAATGGTTAAAACCTTGATATTTGTTAAAAGCTTAATGTATCCGAACCAATGTAACCAAAGTTGACAGGTGCATGAATTCTACATTGTTAAGATAGGTATCTTTGTTAGTTTGTTATGTTAGAGAGAGAGAAAGCTCACATCCACTAATAAAGGACTCTTCCTGTGAAAAGGCGACAAATTGATTTTTTTTTTTTTTAATTTTAACAAATTGATTATATGTTAGACTTCTTTTTATGGATCTTGCCCTCACAATTAAAAAACTCTACGAAGAAGAGCATTCCCAAGGCTAATTTATACATCCTAAACTTAAAATGGAGAAAAGTATATTATTATTATTATTATTATTATTATTATTATTATTATATGAGAAAAAAAAAGTATAATTAATATAACAAAATCATATCAATAGTGAAAATTTACCATATAGCGTTGTGGTCCAATAAGTCACATGTGAAGAGAGAAAGAGAGACATGACAGGACATGATGACAGCTAACAACCTAAAAGAGTGTGTTTATCCAAGGGCTAGCTATCGGTTGTGATTATGACTATTAATAGGATGGATAAAAAATAATTAATAAATTAATAAAAATATTAATTAAAAAATTAATATCAATATTAATTTAAAAATAAATAATTAAAATAATTTATATTTATTATTTAACAAATTAAAATTAATTTATAAATCAATATTTTAAATATTATAACTATCTTTAAAAAAAATATAAATATAAATATCAATTAAATTAAATATAAATTTAATAATTTAAACAATTTTATTAATGACAATAACTATATCCTTGCTATCCTACAAGTTGCAACTATTTCTGAAAGTGAACCATTGGTAATTTGTGGACCATGAGAATTCTTTTTACTGGGGTTTAATTTGATAATGCTGTATATAGTATTTTTTATATATATTTATAAAATTTTTTATAATTTATATATTTGATAAATTATTTAATTCTACTTTTTTGTAAAAAAAATATAAAAATGATCTCATCTTAAATTAATAGAATTTTTAAATAATTAAATAAAATTTTTAAATTTTTTTGTACATTATATATTAATTTATTAATTTATTTAATTTTAAATAATAATATATTTAATTAAATAATTTTATAATAAATAACTTTTTAAAAATATAATTATCAAATACTAAAATATTTTTTTATAATAATATAGTATAACACTTTAAACAACTACAATTATAAAATAGCACATGATAATATTGTCAAACTAATTCTAAGTCTTTTGAGCATAGAGAGCCCTACATGCAACAAGTTTTTCATTGGGATCGTTGCTATTGTATCTTAATTAGTTAATTCAACTTTTTCGCTGTTCAAGTTTACACATTTGGAGATAAAGAGGACAAAGAATTTTGTGGATTGTGCAAGTCTCTCTTTTTGTGTGTGTGCCTTTTTTAATTTATGTGATTTTCATTCAAAGAATTTTATATACTCCTTTTTTTTTTGTAAATTTAATTTTTTTTATTTAATAAAATAAAATAAAATAATTCATTAATAAAATTTTATATTTATTTCTAATTAAGTATCACTTAGATAAAATTTTTTATTTAAAATATATTATAATTATTTTTTTAAATGAGAATAAAATATGAATAAATACATTAAATGATATTTTAAAAAATAAATAATTAAATTTAAATACTTTAAATAAAAAAACTAAATATACTAAAAATAAATGGAGAGGGTAACTTTTTTTAAAACTTATTATTAAACATTGAATTTTCTTTACAGTTCTTTATCTGCATTAAACCCGATAAATAGGTTAAATTGGATCATCTCGGATCTCAAGTTTTTTGAATTGGATTATTTTGGGTGTCAGATTAAAAGGGTAAGTTCATGACCCACCCATACGGTTTTAGATTAAGTTGGGTGGACTTAACTTCTAAAAAATTAAAATTAAAAATTTTCTATATATTTTTCTCTTTTTTTAACAAAGTTTAATTCTAATTAATTATTTAGTTAGAAAACTTTATTAAACACTAATTTTCATTTTAGGATTCAATTTTCATTCCAATCTCAAGAAAAAAGGAGAAAAATTACTGATTATATAGGTGGAACTAAAATATATGTTAAATATATAATATTTATACAATATTTAGAATTCATAATTTCATAAAAGTATTAACTTTCATTAAAAGAAGAGATATGAAGTACTAGAATTTAAAAGACAAATCCAATATATATATGTTAATATTTAGTGTCTATTCAATATTTATAAGAATATTATATAAAAAATATAGTTCTATTCAATATTTTTTTTAAATAGTGTACAATTTTGGGGGAGGGAGATTTTTTTTAAGACGTTGGTAGAATTCGAAACCTTGATTAATGAACGCAAGCACTTTAAGACTTGAGGACGAATCATTTGGACTTGATTACCCAATTCCAGTTATATTCAATATTTAGAAGGGTATTATACAAAAAAATATATATATAACTACTTTCAATTTTAAAGTTCAAAAGACAAATATAAAATATGTCTAAACAAATACAAAAATAAATTGGATGGGGATTGATTTTTATTAACTAGGAACAAATTATTAACTAAGAACAAATCTTGATGTTCTTATCATTGTATTTCTAATAGTGATGAGGGTATTTCAGCCCTTGGGTTTTGATTTTCAATAGGTATTTTTTTTTTTTAAAGAATTTTTTTGACAATGCCATATGACGCAGTTCATTATATGTCACATAATCTAATTTTTGACACGAGTGCTACCAAAGAAATAGATTAGAGAACTTGAGATGAAGAAAATGAGAGTGAGAGTGGAGAAGAGGAAAAGTTGAGAGGAAGTGAAATTGACGGGAGGTTAGGATTTGGTATTTTATTCATTTTTACTTTTAAAATTAGGAAATTTAAAATTTAAAATTAATTTTTAAGTAATCTAATAATAAATAAATAAATAAAAGTTTGGTTTATTTTAAGTGATCCAATCGTCTAGTGATTCAACTCATTTGAGTTTGTGTAATTTCAGTTAAGATAATTTTAGATTTTAAATTAACACATAAAATCCATAACTTTACTTATAACAAATGAATTGAATCGGACTTTCAGATTGGATACAATTTTGCTAGGTCTAATCTTCATGCTTAAAACACAACCTAACTAAAACTCAAAAATAAAGTTTCAGCATCCATGCAACGGGGTGTTTGGCAGATTTTTTTTTTTTTAAAGTTGTTTATAAGCTCTTTCTTAAAACTCTCTTATAATTAAAAACTTAAGTATAAGTACTTTCAATGCTAATAACTAATATTTTCTTGCAATACTTTTTTAAACTTATTCAAGAAAAAAAATATTTTATAAGGTAAATTATACTTTAAAAGTATAGTTTAATCTATAAATTTACTAAATATTTTTAATAAAATAATATTAAAATGTTATTAAAAACATTTTAATAAATTTATGAATTACACTATACTTTTAATATATAGTGTGAACTATAAAATATAAATAAAATAAAATAGAAACTTATTAACTTGTTGAGGATTAGACTTTGCATCAAGTGAACCTAACTCATCAATCTCCAGCGGTCCTACTTTCATTAACTGCACATAGAACGCAGCCCAAAAAGTTGTTACTCATGAAAGTCATAAATTCTAGTACTGATAGTAGAGACTTCATCGGTTGCCAAGTTAAATGTTTCCTCCTTTCAAAATTGTAGTACTAGTAGTAAAGATTTCAGCTACCGAATTAATATTACTCCTTTCAAATTTAGCTATTAAATTTTGACTTTGCACACAACCTTAAGTATTGTTTTTAACTATATACTGTAGTATATATAAAAATCATAATTGAATTTTTTTTTATCAATTTAAACTATTTTGTGAAAATTTATATAAAAGTTTTTAATTATCATAGTTACAATTATTTAATATTAATTCAAATAGTTCAATTTAGTGACATAGGCTTGAGTTAGAGCCATTCACCTCTTTTGAGTGACGTGTTCGAAACTTACAAATTTCTTTTCCATTTTCTCCACTTAATACATATAAATAATTTTAATCTATTCAAAAAATTTTATTTAATATTAATTCTGTTATACCATAAATTAAGTCTTATAAGAATTAACACATGTGGATATATTATAAAAATAATCCTATCAAGATCACATAGGATAAATCTCACTAGAATTAGAATACCTAAATATCAATCAAATAAAACTATATTTATAGGATAACTTTATTTAAGTATCTTATAAATATCTCAAAAATAAACTTAAGAAGTCAAATTATTTTCTCTATTTTTTTTCATTATAAACTCTCTTTACTTTTTATCAATAAAATTATTGGTTCTGCACCTTACCCTTTAAATCAACTGACACTTTGTCAGTTTGAAGTGTATTCCCTATCTCTCATGGATGAAATTCGAGCTCGCACTTAACAACTTGTTAAAAAAATAATAAAATTATTGGTTCCACACCTCTTTTTTTTTTTTTTTTTTTGTGTTAACAAATTCTGACAACTGATTTTGTTCAACCTCTCTCTCTGTTAAACAGAAATCTATAAAGACTTGGCAGTAAAAGTCGTACCCACTGATCCTTTCTTCACTACATGAGAGATTTATTTTCATCAAAAACAAAAAGTTGTAGTTGAAGCTTTATTAGCTTTTACTGCAAGAATCACGAACAAATATAACGGTGGGGAAGGGGAAAACAACAAAGATAGGTAAAGATTCAAGATGGTAAAAATAAGCGTTAAAACAGACAGGTAATTTTAACCTCTATCTATAATCAATAAATTTATGGTAAAAATGGTACATTTACTCGTTTACTTTTCACTGATTACTAAAATAAATCTCTACACCTTTTTTCTAGATATTTGTCATCAATCATATTAATGAAATTGGCCATTCTATATTCTGGTTGAAATAAATTAGCCAGGACAGATAACATAATCATACTTCATCATTTTGTTTTTTTCTTTCAATAGCTATTAAGCTTTTACTAACTCTGCAATCTTGGGCCCATCTGACGATATGGCATTTTTCTCTCTCGGTATCAACAGAAAATTAACAACTAATGTAAATAAAATGTCATGTCATAAAAAAATAAACTCAATTGCCAAATCAAAAAGAACTTATCGAGCGATGAAGGAAAAATCAAAATAATAACATATGATTACATCATTTATTAAATTTTGATTGATTTACTTTAATAAATACATATAAAAATTATATATGATCCTTTAGGTCAAGTGACTTTCGGTCACATTGTGATACATGCATCTCTCTCTTTTTGGGCAGATTCGAACCCGTCCCATAACATTTTGTTCAAAAGAAAAAAAAAACCTATAAAAATTAATTTTATTCAACCTAAAAATATGAAGTTATTTAAAAGAAAATTATAAGTGTATATTTTAATAACCATTATAAGGGTAATAATACCCTTTTTGTCTAAATAGATTTGAAGTAAACCTAAATCCACCTCAACTTACAAGCGTTTTGTTAGCTCAATTTGTTAAGTCTTAATGAAGAGATCTTGATTTTTTTTAAATTATATATCAGGTTTAAATATTGTAAATAGAAAAATAAGTATTAAAAGAGTTCTCCTTATGAAATCTAATACGATTTGACTTTAAATTAATTAAAATTTAGTGCTAGTTTGATATAATAATTTAGATGTAATGGTTAACGGTTAGTGGTTTTACCTAAACTGTTAAAAATATACATTTGATAAATTTATCTATTTTGAAACTATTGGAAAATATGTGTTTGGTAAAACTCTTATTTAACAATTTAGGATTATCAGATAGCGGTTAAGATCTAAATTGTTAATGGATTGAAAAAGTAAAATCTTCAAATCCACCTCCAAAGTATAGTGGTAGGGACGGATTCATCATTGAACAAAAATAGAAACAAATCCACCCATAAAGTTTTCGATTTGGACAAATCATTCAAAATTTAACGTGTGAGTCATTTGACGTTAATTGATGTCAGCAATCTGTTAACAATAAACTTATTAACGATATAACAAATTAACGAATTGTTAATATGAGATGATGTCATATGTTAAATTTGGGGTGAGTTGTCCAAATTAAAAATTTTGTGGATGAATTTGTCTCCATTTTTTGTTTGAAGGTGGATCTGTTCCTACTATTATACTTTGAAGGTGGATTTGT